ACCCCGGAGGGGAGGGATTGAAGGCCCCCGCGGATATCGATTCGGGATTCGAACCCCTGACCGTGCGTGTGATATAGTGCGCCACTTGCCACTACACCACCTCCGCCCCTAACCCCCGAACCTGAAGGTGCCGTGGTTAAAGTGAATGAAATCCACAAACTGATCGCAGGGGCCTCGGAGATTACAGTTGGCGTTCCCAGGAAGAAACAACAGATCAATTGTCGATCAAAGTCATTCAAGCTGGGAGGAAAGCCTAAGCTTACGAAGCAAACTATACACGGTAAGAATTGGCAAACTTTGGAACCAATCAACGTGGCTGCAAAAACATTCAACTTCACGGAGCAAAGAATGAAGCGAGATGCGCATAAGGACGGCGAAAGTTACAAATGGAAAAACCGCTGCCGATACTTTAATCATTCACATAATGATCCGCAATCGTACGTAACACCAAGGAAACAACATATTTGTTGTTGATTTTTACATAATAATTTCAAGGGATTACATGCAAATGATATGGCTATAAGAAAATTCAGTTTACGCAATGGGTTTGAAGATACCTTTCATGGTAAAACGAAGTAGAACAACTAGGATCTGTAAAAGGAAGTAGAACAACTATGATCTACAAAGAGGACACTCGATTGCTGACGGTGTCCGAGAGAGTGAAGGGCTTAGGAATATAAATAAACTCCTGAGGGGGCCCACTCACAACATCACCAACGAAACAATATGCAATAGTACTCAATAAATTTTATATCGCAGTTGTTGGAGCATGATCACGGTGGTTCTCTTTATGATCTTCCTCATCGTGTGACAGATATCGTATTTGCCCAATTTATGAGCTTTGGACTCGACGATGAGTATTTATAGCTCCGAAACCGCTCCTAGAGCACAATTCTTTATTGTTCTTATTTTCTAACCCTTCCTTATTGATTTCTATCCACATGAGATGATTTTATCGATTTAATTATCCTGCTTTGAGGTACGCTAATGAAGTTTTGCGGCACTCACCGGAGAATCGCCTGCTTTTAGACGCGATTATTCTATTTTGTTGCCTATGTTTCTCTGTCGTTTAAATCTCCATTAGGCCTGTATCTCAATTATATAGCGAGTAAACTGATATTTCACGATAGTACGCTTTTGAACATATTTGTTCTGTTACGTTTCATATTTCTGTGGAGCGATATAACAGCTTTTTTCATTTCATTTGTTTGCGCTCTAGGAAAATGGTCGAATTCGATATGAAGATGATAAGATTCGAACCAAGAGTTAACAAGGCGATAAGTAAAAGACGCATGAGGATGATTGGAATGCCATACTTGAAGATCTCAAAAAAACCATTTAGGACTTTTTGCCATAGAAGCAATGTTCGTCTCTTCACTGTATTTTCACCTTTTTTTATTGTCTGTTGTTAAAGAGAATAGCAATATATACGAGATTGCTTTTCCGTAATTAGGAAAGGTAGTAGTCCTATCTAGGTTCGGAATATCAAAACATATGATGAAGATGAATGTAATTTTGCCATAATCTCTAACTTTTAGACATAATTTTTTTGATCTAGTTACTTCAAAAGGTGAGCACTGTTTTTTCTCCAACGACGCTCTTATCCAAAGCAACTTTTTATGTTCAGATCCAAGATCCATATCCGCTTAGGTCAACCAAGCCTTCCATCCCTCCAGGGTCGG